TGTATAAGATATATATATATATATATATGAGGATAAATTAATGTACATAGTACAATGGTACAATGGTACATAAACAAACTTATGAAATACTAGACTATGATTCATTACACATTAACCTTCAAATGGTACATATTAGGGTGGGTTGAAAAAATTTTTTTTGAAACAATTGCTTTAAAAATTTGTAAGAAATGCATAAACTTACTAATTTCAAAATCGAGGGGCAACCTGAAGATTTTAATCGATTTCGATGAAATTTTACCCAAACCATATTGAAGTCCATAGCTAATTTTTGGGGAGTATTACTAATCGATTTAAAAAAAACAAATTTTTTTCGGCCCACCTTAATATATGTATGTATATATATATATATATATATATACATATATATGTATATATAAAAGTTAAATTATATACAACTATGCAAAATATAGATATCATCCAACAAGAATAAGAAAGATTTTAAAAGTGGAAAAACACTTTTGAAATACAATTTGTTGTAAAAAGTAATCTCATGTGCTTGTATTAAGAATTCCAAACCTTCTATTTTTAGACAATTTATAGTTTTTTGGAAAACTATCAATGAATTAACAATAAATTTTGAAATCTTTGGAATGATTAACCATTAGATTCCATGGAAAAGAAGAAAAAGATTAAATGTTGTATTTTAATCCATTTTTTAAATGTATAGATGATATACATTAGATGAACGTATTTTTACCACATCATCTCGATTAGCAGCGTTTACTTATGTGCAACGAATAGCGTTTGCTAATATATGATTGGATCAGGTTTGCATTTATACTACTTATACTAAGAACAAATTGATTTTTGAACATTATAATACTTTTTCTTTCCCTGAAATCTATCATTCTTATAATTTTGCTAAGTAGTTAATCGATAACTTAAAAATTTTATCTAATTTTTGAAAAACTAAGAATGTTTAAAGCCAAGATTTAGATTTTTAATATAGACTATCTTTTACAACAAATCACATTTCAAAAGCGCGTTTCCACTTTTAATTTTCTTCTTATAAAGATATAATGTAGACATAAAACAGATGATAATAAAATGCAAATAAAAGAGACAAATACAACCAAAATGATAGTTCAATCAAAACACGAAATATAAAAGTCGTGGAGAATTCACGAGAGTCGTACCTCGCTTGTTTTTCGATGCATTCTTCTTGGCTATCAACACTTCATTGTCTATTTTGCTCTCCAGAAATTCTTGTTTCTTTATCAACATATCCTCTGTCTCGCGTAACTTCTGAATCGCCTCGGCCGTCGAAGGGGCAGCCGGTTCCTTCTTGCCGCCGAACACCTTGCTAAAGAAGCTCATTGTGTTGCGTCCGTTTCCAATTTATAAGATATTTATAAATCACTTCCGATCGTATGACGATGAACACTGATGTGCTCCGAGGAGTCCGAGGAAATCAAAAGTACATCCACTGTTACGAGATTACCGTCGCCATATTCCTTTCACGTTTGACTTACATATACGAATGCGTCATAGGTTTGTTCCTTTGAGAACTGCACTGCTTACACTCAAAGAAGATAAACATACGTTCGCACATTAAAAAGAAAAAAAGAACAATAAAAAAGTGCAGTGAATTGAAGCTAGTACATACATATGTATGATACAAATACATTCGCGTGATTCGTCATCGCTTTGCCACGATATATACTGTGGCTTTGCACATCGACTATAGATTTTTACATACTTGATACTATTAAGCCGGTATCAGACTACGCCAAAGAGGATCCTGAGAACGGTCATGCCCGCGATTTACCTGCGACGGTGATTGAGCTGGTTTCAGCGCCTCTGGAAAGTGGACATTAAACTACCAACTAGAGAGACCAATGAAAAGCACGCGTTGGACGGAAAACGTGCTTCTTATTGGTCTCTTTAGTTGGTAGTTCAATGTCCACTTTTCAGAGGCGCTGAAACCAGCTCAATCGCCATTGCAGCTAAATCGCGGGCATGACCGCTCTCAGGATCCTCTCTGTTTTGACCTCCCCGTACACTAGCGCCAATTGCTTCCACTTTTGAGATGGAACTACGTACACAGCCAATGACAATGGCTGTGTACGTAGTTCCATTTCAAAAGTGGAAGCAATTGGCGCTAGTGT